AAGTTACAGAGTTAAACACGTAATCTGTATTTGTTCAAGAAAAGAAAACACTATTTCATTGACTTAATATTTTCAATTTTCTAAATAAAAACACTCAAGCTGATTAAAAATGTAAAATCTGGTACTTATGGTTAGGTTTTGTTTTTTGTGCTGCTTCTCAGCCTTGCATTTTAACATTATATTGTTAGCATTTTTCTCATGTCAACAATTTTTTTCTCTGAAAACACACTTTTTAGTGGTAGCGTAGCATACAATCATATGGACGATGGATGTAAATAATCTTCATTCTTGTACTTTAGATTCCTTTCCCTTTTTTTTTGCCATTAAAAGTAATAAATGCTTCAATTAATGATATAAATATATCTTTGTGAGTGTTTGATTATGTCTAAATGTAGAAATACAAGTTCAAATTGACTTCAATATAGATCACATCAGTTTGTAGTATATACAGTGACTATATACTGTACCCTTAGCAGTATGGATTTTATTAAATATATGGTTATAATATCAGCTATTGAGTATATATGTAAATGTTTCTTACTCTGATGGTGGGTTCTATCGTCTTCGTTTTGTTAATTTTTCCTTAGATATTTTTAAGCTGTTACTGAGTGCAAAAAATTTCAAGCTGCCATATCTTCCTTAAAAATTGATCACTTTTTCATTATTAAATGTATCTTTTAATCTCTATAATGTCTTCTCTTTAAGTTGACTTTATCTGATACTGGTTTAGTTTCACGAGCTTTCTTTTGTTTAATGTTTTCTTGGTGTAATTTTTTCCATGCTTTTACTCTTTGACTTTTTATGTACTTATATTAAGGGGTACCTTGTTTAACCAACATATATTTTTTAAATGCAATTTGTCAATAATAGTTTATTACTTGAACTTTTAAATTATTTAATATATATTTGTATATTTATTTAATTTAGATTAATTCAACAAAGAACATATTTTCATTTGTCTACCATCTTACTATTTGCTAGCTATTTTGAGGTTCTTTTTCTTACTTTCCTTGCCTTTTTTTGATTGATCAAAAATTAATTTTACTATTTCATTTACTATATTTTAGTGATTTGCCTAGACATTATAAAATGCATTTTTATTTATTTCAGTCTAATGCTAATGGTTATTTTTATAGCTTCTTTAGAAGGCTAGAATCCTAGAACATTTCAACTAATTTACTAGTTTTTTCTTTTGCGTTATTATTACATAATACAATATATTGCATGAACTAGATATAGGTTACACAGACATAGTTTACTTTAAACTCCTTAAATCATTATTGTTTTATAGAGTCAAAAAATATTCAATTTACCCAGAAATTTACCTTCCTCATTTTTTCCTGCATTTTTACCTTTCTGTCTAGGTCATTTTCCTTTTGCCTGAAAAAATACCTTTTTGAATTGTTTTTAGTGCAGGTTAATTGCTGACAAGTTTTCTTAGTTTTCGTTTGTCTGAAAATATAGTTATTTTACCTTTACTTTTATTGGTTATTTTTTCTGAATGTAGAATTTCGAGTCGGTAATTATTATCTTTCAACATTTTAATTCTATTCCATTGTATTCTGACTTAATTATTTTTTATTGATAAGTCAGCTATACAGTAGTTTTATTTTGGTTCTTCGAAGGTGATAATTGTATTCCCCTTAGATTTCACTTAAGATATTCTCTTTGTCTTTGGTTTTTAAAAGTTTTAGTATAATGTTTCTTGGTATGCTTTTCTTTGTATTTACTCTTCTTGGCTTTCTTGGCAACTGTTGAATCTATGGGTTGATGTCTTTTTCACTTTTGGGCAATCTTCAGTCATTATCTCTTAAAATATTGCTTCTCCCTCTACTCTCTTTCTCCTTTCATGTTAGTAATCATTGTACACATAAGTAAAGACTTTTTCACCATGGCTGAAATGTCCCCTATATCTTTTCTTAATTCTTTTAATCTTGTAGAAAGCAGATATTTTCTACTCTCCTATTTCCAGTTCAAAAGTCTTCTCTTACTATAAGTCCAATCAGCTGTGAAATCCAACTATTGAATTCTGAATTTCATATATTGTATTTTACAGCTCTAGAATTTTCATTGATAGTTTTATAAATGGAAGTTATCTTCCGAAATTACTCTTCTTGTCTTTTAAACATATTAATCAAAGTTATTTTAAATTGCATGCCTAATAATTCTATTTCTGAGGTATTTATTATTATTAACTCCTAGACATTGCACTTAAAGTTATAGAAGTTCTGATTATTTTTCTCCAATGTTAAGATCTACTTTTGCTTTTGTCCAGGAGCCAAAAAAGGACAGATGAGCTTAATCCAGTCAAGGATTGAGTTGATTTTCCTCTGGGCGTCAATATTTGTAAGGCCTGTTCTATTTATATAGTCAATTCTTTCTTTTAGAAAGTAGCCTTCAAAGGCCCCAGCTGAAAGTATGGGGTGTGTACCAGATGGAACCCCTCCCTCTCCTTGGTGGGCCCTGTCTTTACAGAAATATGAAACTGCTGGAAAGCAGTACTTGGTTTCTTCAGTTTCTTACCGATCACTTTCTAACTGGTGTCTCATACAATCAACCCTATACTGCTTCTGAATGGGCAAAACTCTGAAGGGTAAAAGTGGTGTTGAGCAACTCATTTCTCTGAGTTTCCCTGTATGCTTGATAGTCCCAAATTCCAATTTTTGTCTTCCTAGCTATGTGAAACTGATAAAAACTCAACTTGGCTTCTCTCCTCTTTAACCACTGTTTTTGCTGTGCTTCTCCACCTCTTTCTTGGTACCAATTACTAATGCACGAATGCCTTGAGGGGAAAAGAAGTTCAGAATATCCGGCTCCCCTCATGTGTTTCCCCACTTTTCAGGATATTGGCCTCTCAAGTCCTGGCTGCCCCAATAGCTCTCCTGTTCCTTAAAATAGATTTATAAAAAATCATTCACTTTTTGAGTTGTTCTGACTTGGTCAGATTTAAATAAAATATTTTTCACTACTACTTTAGAATTTCACCTCTTTCATATAGTAAATGATTCTTTATATTCTGGTTTATTTCTGACTTGTCAATAGTCTGCTATTTTAATTATTCAACTTTAATCATTCATTTTACTTCCTGGTGGTTCAAGTACCCTCTCAATAGTTGTATTTGTCAATTTTATCTTGGTGTTCATCAGGATTTTTTTACCTTCAGTGTCGGAAGTGATTATGATCTGGACTAAAGTGGTAATGGTGGAAATACAGAGCAGGAATAGAGTGAGCGATATGTTATATTGCCATCAATAGTTCATAAGGGATTTGGAGACAGGAGATGATATCACCCATGACACAGCCTTCTGGCTCGGGAAACTAAAAGATTGGTAGTGTCATTATCAAAGCCTGGGGATAGAAAAGAAGCAGATTGTAACAGAAAGGGAGAATCATCTGTTGAAAAAGAAGAAGCAGGAGTAGCATAGATAATTATAAAATACTGGTGATATTTCGAAATGAATTCTTTGGCTAATAGGATAGGAGGTTGACTCGGCAATATTAAAATACAAAATCAAGTGAAGTCCAGTTTGGATTAGATATCAAGTGAAATTTGTTGTGACACCAATTCTAACAAATGATTGGTTTTTAAGGAGCAGTGCACAGCAAAATTTTTCACCTATTCAACCATGTAAGATATACTGTTGGGCAAAATGACCAAATTTGGGAGATTTGGAGGCAAAAGGTTGCAAATGAGGAAGTAGAAGCTACTGGTAATAAAAACTATTGACATGACCCCATAAATTCTAGTCTTGTAAAGAAAGAAATGAAGCCAGGTACATTATTGCAAGTATCAAATATGATTCTAAGAGCTAAAAGGGTTTGGAAAGCTCTATAGCAAAATAAAGCAGTATTTTTATTCCTCGGTCATTTACATGAAGGGTATGGTGGAGCTGGGATGAGTCTGACCCTCTCTATCTGGCTATGCTTTCTGCAGCCTAAGACTAAACAGTTTCTAGATAGGAAGCCCGGAGTCCAATTTATAAGGAGAAGTTGTAGCTTCTTTCACTTTAGCATTTTTCACTTGTATGTATACCAACCAGTCTTCCTTTATTCACCCTTAAAGAGAGTTAGAAAATATCACCTTGAGTTATGTAATCTAGCTCTAAAACATTGTTTCAGCTAAATAGAAAGAATAGAGAGGGGGAGGATTTTAAAATTTGTTTTCATGGGTTTCTCTTGCTCCCTTTGACTTTGGGCATTTTCTCCTCTAAATTTGGACTAGAGGATCAGAACTGTAAAATTTCAGCCTGGGAAAAAATTGTATAATTTATTTGACGCCTACATTTTGTCAATTAATAAATGAGACAAATGAGGGACAGGGAAGACAAGGCTGAAGTAATCTGTAAATCAAAAGCAGAACTAAACCCAGGAACCCTAGGTTTGCTAACAATGAATTTAGATACTTTCACTATAGCGTGGTGATTAGATATTTCATATTAACTTACTGAATTAATTTACTGTATCACTTTGCATGTTATACCCCTCCCCCATTCTTTTTTAAGATTCAGCAAAATTTTTAATGTGGAAGAATAAAAAGTGGTTTCGATCCTCTCTCTCCAGAGTATCAGATTTCTGAAAAGAGCTGACACAAAACACTTTCAGAACCAAATTTAATATAAAAGCACTGCGTATGCAAATAAAGCACAAAGCTAAACTTTAGAAATGAACTAAAGAGGTGAAAAATTAATATGGTGCCATTTTTAAGATTAGACTTTAGTCCTGCATTTGTGTTCTCTGGTCAACAAGCCACAAGGAACTCTGACCCCAAACAGTCTTGCCACTGCTGTGTGCACACCTGGACTGGCAACAGACAGAGAGCTACTTATCGACTCTCATTTTACAGGCAATGTCTGTTCAGATATGCTCACTCCACCCCCCATCCTGTTCTACTTCAGTGTCAGAAGGAAATGAAGCCACAACCAGAACAAAAAGAGCTCTAACACCTTTTGTCTCCTGCCTCCTCCCTCCCTCCTCACTGTACTCCCCACAAAAAGCTACTCCACCCCAGTTGGGCTTAAATGTGACATCCCTGCCTGCCTGAGGGAGGAATGATGAGCAGGGGCTATAACTGCAGATAAGCAACAACTGGAAGGCACAAACTTCTGTCAAGTCCCAGGTCTGCACAATATCCAAGCCTCAGCAATGGCATTGTCACTGGAAGAATTTATCCACACCCTTGACCTCAGGACCCTCCCTAGGGTCCTAGAAATCCAATCAGGCATCTATTTTGAAGGTAAGCACCCTCTTATGTCTTAGCTGGCTAGAAACGCTTACAAAGTGTATACTCTAGGGAATTGGAGGAGGAAATTTTAATACAACATATGAGTTATGTTAAAGGAAAGGTGATCATAAAAGAGAAAAAGTGATTAACTGAGGGTCAAGACTCAAAAGGGTCAGAGAAAGGAGAGACTAGATAGAACTCTGGCGTGAATAGGGGCAAGGAACTGAAGGAAGTTTCTTGAGCTTTTTGTAGGCCTTCAAGTAGTTCAACATGAATGATAAGTTATTTCTGCCTTTTAGAAATTGGTTGTAATGAAAGAATGAAAGTCGAGTTATCTATATTTATGTTTCTGGAATGTAAAAAAATAAATTTAGTTTTTCCTAAAACAAAAACAACTATTAAAAATACAGTGTATATAAAAAGAACAGTTCACTAAACACTAAGTACCTCAATGTTG